GTCTCTCCCTCCGCTCCCCTCTCAGCTCTAAAACGCGACGATGGCCCGAGTCCAGGCCCCCAGGCTGGCCAGCGCCTGCTTGCCGCACAGCTGCCCGTTGAGGGGCTGCTCCGAGTCCGCCTGCTGCCGGCTCACCAACCCCGTGAAACCGGAGCCGAAGATGGAGATCAAGTTGGAGATGTTGGAAGAGTCCTGCGGGTGTTCGGCGCTGCCGTACTCCTCGAAGCGGGCGCGTTTGGTGCACGGGGCGAATTGGGGGCCGCCCGCCACCCCGCCTCCCCCCGGCTCCCCTTCCTCCACCCCCTCCTCTTCCTCCTGGCCCGGGTAATACTTGCGCTTAGCGCCCGGCGGGGGCGGCGGGGAGGGGGGCCCCGGAGCCGCGGGTTGGCAGCAGCACGGGCACTGCGAGCAGCACTCCTGGTGCAGGTAACCGTTCTCCACCGTGGTCACGACGTGCGTGTCCAAATCCAGCACCGTGGTGCGGCTGCTACAGTGCTGCTGCGTTCCTCCTCCGCTCCCAAAGTCACAACCGGAGGAAGCGGCGGCGTAAGGGGGGGCCGCCCCGGCACCGTGTCCCGCTCCGTGCCCGGCGGGGGCCGCTCGGTAGAACCCCGCGGAGTCTCTGCACGGCGCTCTGTGCTGCAGTTCGGGGGCGGCGGAGCACAGCGGTACCTCCGGCCCCGGTTCCGCGCCGCCCCGCAGCGCCGCGCAGCTCCGAACGTCGCGCTCGTGGGGATCGCCGGGCAGGGGGGGCATCTCCGGAGGGGCGGAGGGCGGCGGAGGAGGGCAGGGAGGGGGAACGGCGAGCAGCGGGGCTCCGTCGGGGTAGTGCTGCTGGCGGCGGTAGAGCTCGGCGTAGCGTTCGCTCAGGTAGAGCTGGCGGGCGTTGCGGAGCACATAGGAGACGAGCAGGTTCTTGTGAAGCTTGATGCCGCCTCGCTGAGTGCGGGAGCTGTGGATCTTCCGCAGGGAAATACTGATCAAACTCTGCGCATCGAGGGTGCACTCCATCCTCCTCCTGCGGCCCCTCAGCATCTGCTCTCGCCACGCAGCCCGGGCCGCATCCACACGGTGCAAACCGGGAGGGCGTGCGGAGGGCTTTTGGGTCGATTTGGTGGTGGTGGTTTGGTTTTTGTTGTTGTTGTTGTTTGTTTGTGTGTGTGTGCAAATCCAAAATAATAGGTTAAAAATATATATATGTATATAAAAAATAGGCTCCAAAAGGCAAAAAAAAAAAAAAAAAAAAAAAAAAAAAAATGGGTTTGGGGAGGAAAGGGAGGGGGAGGGGGGGGATATGGGGAAAGGGGGGGAGAGCCGGAGAACGGAGGAGGAGAAAGAGAGGGTTGGCTTCAGGGGGCGGCCAGCGCAGGGAGCGGAGCGGGCATCGCCGTGCGCGCCGGTGCTCCGCGCTGCTGTGCTGCGCTGCTGCCGCGCTCCGAGCAGCACGGCGCGTGCAAGCAGTGCAAGCAGTGCAAGCACTGCGAGCGCTGCGAGCTCTGCGAGCACCGCCACCAGCGCCGCGCGCGCCCCCGCCCTCCCCGCGCGCCGCCCCCGCGCGCGCCCTCGACCCCGCCCCTCGGCCCCGCCCCCTTTTTCCCGCCCTCCCCCCGCCCCCCCACGGCCGGTACCTGTCGCGCAGAGGCACTGAACGCCCGCCCGCCCAGCCCCCGCTTTTTATAGCGCGGCGCCGGCCCCGCCCCGCCCTCCCCGAGCGGATGGCCAATGGGAAAGAGGAGGGCGAGATGACGGGCGGGTGCGGAGACCAATAGGAGTGAGGCGGGCGCTGAGCGCCGTTCAAACGCCGACGGGCGCTCCGCCTCGTGGGTTCAGGTGAGCGGGGCGGTGCGTGGCGCTGCGGGTCCCGGTTCCGCATCGAAGCCCGGTACGGCGGCAGCACCGCCACACCTCCGTACTCTCCGGTCCCGGTAGCTGCGTGCAGCCCCCCAGCTCCGGCCTCAGCCTCACTCTGCACATTCAGTCCCTTTGCACGCTCTGAGCGTTGGGTGCCGCTTGGGACGGGCTCCAATCCCGCTGCTTTTTACCCCAAATGAGAAGCAGGGCCGTGTGTGAGGTGTGATTAATCAAGGGCTGCTCATTAAGGGCTCCTGCCTTCCCTCCTTCCAGCTGGCTTGAGGGGTCGTGTGCTAAGAGGTGTGTGCAGGGGGTGGGATGGGGGCTGATCTTTGTGTTCCGCTGTCCTCATTGAGCAGCAACGTGGGGGTTTTGGTTCCCCCTAAGCCCATAGCTTGTTATAAGCCCTGGGGTTGGGGGAGGGCTGCAGTTTGGGGTGGGACAAAGGCTGTGATCCCCTTTGCTAGAAGTGCTGGAGAGCAGCACAGGGGAGCAAACCCAGCACTGCTGGGGGTTTCTCCCCATAGAGACCCCAGTTGGGAAGCAGCTGGTCCTAATCCTCACTTGCAGAGCAGCTCCCTTCACCCACTGCTCTCAGCTGTGTGGGATGGGCTGAATGACAGTGAGCATTGCTGCCCTTCTGTTGGGTTCTCTTGGTCTGTTTTCCTGATGTGCAAAATGAAAAATAATCACGGTCCTACCCAGAGGTGGCTGTAGCTGAAGGCAGTGGTATGGGCATTTGAGACGTGGGATTGCACTGCTCGGCTCCTTCCCTCACAGCCCTTCCTTGCTGTAGCTCAGCCTTCCGTGCTGCAGCCTGTGAGCCAGGAGCTGCTCTGCACAGCTGGGGTGCAGCAGGGCTGTTGTTTGCAGCAAATTGTGGTTATCTTTGGGTGCCTTTGTGGGTGAACCTAGGTTTGCTCCTGCTCACAGGCACCGAAGGCTTTGCCTTTGCTGGGGTTGGTGCTCTCAGGCTGAGCCCAGCTGTGGCTTAGCAGCGTTCCCCTGGGCAGCAGGGAAGCGTGGCAGAGGGTGCTGCTGCCTCCAGCCTGTGCAGGCAGTGCCTGCTGTCATGTCCAGCCTACGCTTGCTGCTTTCTGGCCCCTTTCCATCTGTAAAGTTCCAGCTATGGTGGTGGTCCAGGCTGAGAGCCGGACTGCCTGTCAGCTGGCTGCTATGAGTGCCTTGAGCAGCTTGCTGGCTTTGCTAGCTGCAAAGCATTGTCCTGGTGAGCATTGCATCATCCTGCTCCCCATCCTGCCCTGCCTTGGGTTTGCAGTAGGATGCTGCATGGTGTTGGCCCTTCTTGTTTTAATTGTTGGTTAGCCCTGCAGGTTGTGGATGAAGGCCAGGGCTCTGCGTGCAGAGCAGTGCTGTATTTATCAAGGTGCAGAGGGCTGTGCAGAAGTTAGAGTGTCCTCAGGGCTGTGGAGGTGTCAGGCCATCCCAGTGCAGGAGGTGCTGCTGCCTCCACCTGCCTGCGAAGTGCACTCTGCTGTAGCCTCCTGAGAAGCTTAACGTCAACAGAAAACCCAAGAGCACAGTAGAAGCCTCAAAGAGATGAAGTTGGAATTAAAACCTTAATCTTATTTACATTCACAGTAATTAATATACAAGCTATAAAACACGGGCCCAATCCTCTGGCTGGCTGCTGGGCACTGGGTGCCTGCAGGCTGCCTCCTGCCCGGCTGGCTCTGCTGGCATTGCGTTCTGTTTGCAGGCATGGTGGCTTTAATCCTGGGCTGTGTGCTGTGGAAGCTGCCCCAGTTTGGCCCGTGGACTCTAAAATCTGCTGGAGATGTGAGAATGGCTGATACCTGTCTCAGCACATGGCTGTAAGCTCTGCTTTTCTGAAAGGATAACAAGTCTTGCATGTTTTCTGTCTCTGCAGCAGCAAGCTGGGGCAGGATGGGTTTGTTCAGAGCTTGCCTTTCCCAGGAGAATCACAGAGTCCTGTCCAGCATTGCCAGCCCCTGGTCTCAGGTGGGGTTTGTGTGTCCTTTCCATGGGAAAGGGCCCCAAGGACTCTCGTGCCGCAGGGGACGTTTGGTCTGACACCACCTCAGTTACATGTCACTGCAGCTTTAGCTGCTGAGCACCAGCACTCCTCCGAAGGGCAGGAGGATGGGCCCGGGTTTTGCAGTCTGGAGGGCTGTGTGTGTGTGTGCGTTTCCCTGCACACATGCTGCCAGTCCTGAGGGAACGGCAGGCTGGCCCAGGATGGGGATGGCACAGCTGGACCACGGCTGCTCCAGCCCTGCTCACATCCCAGTGCCAGCGCTGCTCTCGCAGCCGTCGATCCTACAGCAGGTTCCAGCAGCAACCTGGCGGACCGCTGCTCTCAGCTGCAGAGTAAACAAGCTGGCAAGAGAAACCATTTTGCTTCAGCTAGTAGGAGAAACCCTTTTTAGGTAGCACTTCCAACTGGCAAGGCTCTCCTTCATTAACCCCCTCCTTCCCTTCCCAATGAAACGTGAAAGTTGCAGCAATCAGAGATCAGGCGCTGGCTGGTGCATCTTTGCCACCTAGAGCGATGAACACAGACACGAATTTGCTGCTTGATCTTGTAATTTCAGTGCAATTAGACTAGCTGGTGTAGAACAATTTCCCCTTGAGCCTCGGAGTCCCGAGCCTGGCCATTGCTGAGCTTCTCTCAGACGAGGAAGCGTTTGGGTATTGGCTGAAACGCGGGTTTTTTTGGGTACACCTGGAACCTGACTCCCTGGAGATGCATCTGTGAGATGGAGCTGCGGGTGCCTGGCATGTCTGAAAAGGAGCCTGCTTTTCAGGCTTGCTTATTACAAGTCAGGCACCCAAAGCTAGTGGGAAGACAAGCCAGAACAAGGCTGCATGTCGGGCTCTGGGAGCAGGGCTGGCTGCTGTCGCCCCATCCCCTGAGCTTGGCTTTTTAACTGCGAAGTGTTTAATGCCTCCCAAGCACTACTGCAGCACAGGGCATGGAAGCAGTGCTCTGATCTCTGGTCTGAACCCACCTGCCTTCATAGGCTTGCTTTCTTCATTTCTTCTACCCTGGTACCACAAATCACGCACTGGACTTTGCCTGTGCTGCTGGCTTTTAGCCCATGTGTGTCTCTGCTTCTGGCTTGCTGTTCCCACAGCGTGGTCTGTGTTAGCTGATCTCTTCCTTGCTGGTGAAAATGAACTGTTGGCAGTGTGAGCAGAGCTGTGGCTGTTTGTGGGAACGCTTCAGCATCCCTTTTGGTTTTGGTGTGGTTTGCTTGTGCACCCAGAGCTGTCGGGGCGATGCTCTGCAGCGATGGCCCCGCATTGCTTCTGTGCAGGTACACACTGCAGAACGTGGATTCCCTGTATAACCACTGCAGGATGGTGAAGCCATGAGATAAACTGCTGAAAGTGTATGAGCTGCCATTTTGGGAAGGGGAGGATGAAGCATGCATCCAATCCCTCCAGCGAGCGCTTTGGGCTGGGAGCTTTCCTGGACACAGGGCTGAAATCACAGGTGCTTCTGCTCATGAAACCTGACTGTGCCCAGCACCAGCTGCCATCCTGGGGCTGTGAGGGACCGGCACTGACCACCCCACCTGAGAGCCTCGTGACCATGGCCTGAGGGATGTGATGGCTCTGTGATGGCTCCTGTGCTGGGAACAGGAACAAATATCGCTTGGAGCCAGTGGGGAGGTGAGTGCCAGACTAATGGACAGCCCTGAGCTTGCTTTCTGCCTGGGAAAGGTGGCTCTGCCCCCTGGTGTGGCTGTGGGTTGAGCAGCTGGCCTCCCTCCCCATGTTGGTGTTTGGCTTGTAGGTAGATTGTCCCAGGGAAAATGCAAGAGAAGATCCCTCCAATTTTCTTTTGCTTCAAGTGGGACCAGGTCCCTGCTGTGGGTTTTGCTGGAGGCTGTGGCCATCTCCACCAGTTCCTTGGAGAAAGCTGGTCTGTGCTGGGGGCTCCATGGGCAGCTGGTGGTGATGGACCACGTACTCTTGGCTTCCCAGAACCGCTTTGGGAATTTGCTGCTGCCACCCCAGAGCATCTCTTCCAGGAGGAATGCGATGTCCCTGGGCTCTCTGCTGGGCTGTGGTATCTGATAGGGACCTTATTTAATGGCCAGGCCAAGTATTTTGATGTTGCTTAGCTGAGGGTTGATCCCTGGGCTCAGTCTGAACCCATGTTACAGCTCTAGCAGCAGCTGTGCTGGACTGTGCTCTACCCTAAGCCTCCAGCATGAATGACGGTCAGCTCCTGCAATTCTCCACCCACCTGTCCTGGTGGCTTGTAGGTGCCAACCTGCCTGTCCCACCGTGCAGGCAGTGTGCGAGCACCCAGCACAGCCCATCCTTTCC